GTTACTTGGGAGAAAATGTCTGACACACCACAGAAACCATTTCAGGTGCCTTATCTACCCTTCCCATGTGTAACCAAAAACTGTCACCACTCTATTCAACAGCTGGACCTAGGCACAAAGGTCACATATTTAGCAATGCTTGGTTTCTGAGATGCAAATTTACTAGAATGTATATGAAATTTTGACATGATTAAAAGCAGGTTGATGATGTAAACTTCAGGTGAGTGCAATTTGCTAGTCTTGTGAATTCCAAAAAGAATATAGTCAAGTTTCAAGTTTGTTTCTCTAACTGTGTTTATGTAATTATTGAGGTCTGTCCAGAATATCTTACTGTATCTACAATCCCAAAATAAATGAATTAAAGTCTCATCAGCATTACATCCAAAATAACAGGACACATTTATATCTCTTTTAAATGTGGCAATCTTACAATTCACTAGATAACAACGGTGAAGAATCTTTAAAGTTACCTCCCGCACCTTATTCGTAATAATGAAAAAGTCCTAGGTATTTATCTTTCCCCACCACTGGAATCCCTGAAATGACAGAGCACTCTTTCAGCGGAAGCAATTGACATTTATCCAGATTCAAACATAGTCCAGAAGCCAATTAAAAGAAAATAGTTGATCTTAATTATTGCAGCATCAATTTCAAATTTGTCCTTCGAGAAAACAGTTCTGTCATCAGCTAATTGGCTAATGGTGACTGAGCGATTGGCGATTTCTAAACGCTTTATGCCGCATTCATTATAGTAACAGGAGAGTAACTGCATAGCTAAAAGAAAGAGATATGGAGATATAGGGCAGCCCTGCCGGATCCCTCTTCCAACCAAAAAACGTTTAGTTGTTCCAAAGGGTAATTTAATACTACTATTACCATCAGCACATAAGGTCTTCATTGCTTTGATAAATGATTCACCATAGCTGAATAATTCCAATGATCTGTAAAGGAACTGATGTTCAACAGTATCGAAGGCTTTGTGAGAATCAAGAAAGAGAATAAAGCTTTCATCCTCCACCAACTCAGAATAATCCAAAATGTCCAAAATAAGCCTAATGTTATTAATCATATGTCTACCAGACATAAAACCAGATTGAGTCTCATTAATTATAGTACTCAGTGATACCTTTAGCTTGGATGCTAAACAGAGAGCAACAATTTTATAGTCATTGTTTAATAATGTTATTGGACGCCGGTTTTCTAAGTACAACATGTTTTGTTGTGCTTTTGGTATCAAAGTAATCAGACCCTGTGCCAATGATGGTGGCAGGACTCCCTTATCAAAGCTTTCTAAAAAAAACATTCAGCAAGAAAGGGGAGAGAACGTCAACAAATATTCTATAAAACTCCCCAGTCAGTCCATCCATACATCCGTACCTGGAGACTTTTTAGTTTTTTAATTGCACATGTAATATTTTCTATAGTGATTGGCATATCACAATGTAATGTCATCATCAGTTATGGAGTTGCCTGTTTTTATGGAGGCAAAGAAATGTTCTAAGGCAGGTACAGATAAGGATTTGGAGGTATATAGCCATTTATAGAATTGCTCACAACCTTCAGATAATTCTTTAGCCTCCTGTGTTATTAACCCATTCAAACTATGTTTGTTATATTATTATTAGGACTGTCAATAGATTCAAATATTTAATCGTGATTAACTATGGACAGTTGTGTGATTAATCACAAATTAATCGCAAATTAAATCATGAATTTATTCAACATATACCATTAAGGGATTTTTTTCAGGTGTTAATATTCTTATCAATATTAGAGTTGGCAAGGCATGACTGCTTTATGCAATAATGCATTTATTATTGGAAATGAATTACCAACAATAAGCAACAACAAAGATTGTCCAAAGACCATCAGAAACCCTTCATCACTTAAGAAAAACTCAAGCCCAACAGCAGATCGGCATGTTTACCTGCTAAATATTACACATTACTTAGTAATATAACTAAGTATAGATCAGAGGTTGGCAACCTTTTTAAAGGAAAAAGCTATTTATCCTAAATGACTGACCCAAGAAAAACAAAATTTCAAGTACTTACAAAAAATTAAAAAATACAATTCGGGGGGGGGGGGGGGCAGTTTTAAATCGCTCAGATGCATAACAGTGCAAAGGTGACTAATATTACAATATTGTTCAGTTCTGTAGTGATAGTTTTCACCCTCACCCAAGTTTGTTTGGCTCTGCAGTTGCCTGTCCTTCACTCTCCACTTCACTACTTGTAACTGTGCTGACCGAGCAGTGCAAAATGTCCTCACCACTCTGAACTTAGCTGGCTATAATATGTAAATTGGAGAAAATATAATAATTTTACAACAAAAGTCCACGTTGAATCTTTGAAGATAAAGATAGCTTTTCACTTAACATTATCCCTTAGTCCTCGAGCATTTATAGGAATTAAAGATAAATGAACATTATACAGATTACAGCTGAACAAATATCCCCACCCAAGAAATTAAACTGAGATCAATAAGTACCCTCCTCCCTAGAACAAACATATTCAAACTTAACCATCTTATACAGCAAAAGGCCTTTTTAAGACAGAAACAAACTTGTTAAACATTTACCCAACCAACACATCAAGTCCGTGGGCAAGGTAACGAGATCAAGCTCTAAATTAAATGGCCTGCTCTGCTGATTTCTTTCCCATCCACAAATGCCCTAGCTCTAACAAAGAAGGCCCTCCGGAGAAAGGTCCACTTTGAACTGTAAATTGTTCTTTTTCAAAAAAAGTTCTTCGCGGCTTCCAGACTTCATCACAGTGAAATCTCGTCATAAACTGAATAATAACATTACGAGGTTGTCGATGGGCAAAGCTTTTTTTCCCCCAAGCGATGCACCGAGTCCACTACTTCTGGAAAC